TCAGAAGGTTATTCAATAAGTTTAAGTTTATCTAGAAAATATGCCACATCTTTTAATAGGAATTTACATATTAGATTCATAATACATTATGAATCTGTAACAAACAATTTTCTGAAGATACTTATTTCTTGAAATTATATTTACTTAGCTAAAATGAGTATCTCCCATCAGTGACAGGTAACACAGCTAGTCACTAATACTGTAAAAATGTGAGGTTAAACATTCTTTAAATGTTTAACTATAGCATTTATTACAGAAATTTTTTAACATTTTGTTACTTATTAATAGTATGTTTTAAATTTTCTTAAAATTTAAGAGCTGCAAAATATTTTTAATAAGCTGATATATATGAAAATTATCATTTTTTGATTTAAAATCTACAGACATGACTCACTAATATAGTGGGTTTGGTTTTGTATGATTGCTGTGAAAAAATTGAACCCTTTTTTCCCACTACTAGTATATATAATGCCAAAAGTATATTTTAAATTAATTAATAATATAATTTATTAAGTCTGCAACATTAAACCAAATCAAATGACACAAAAATAAAAATAAGATTTGAGGGTTTTTTAAGAATAACACAAGTGTTAAAAATAACAAATAGCACTTTTCAATTATATTCATATCTCTGAGGCACTTAAAATTATGAGCATATCTTGTTTTAATTTTAAGAAAGTTCTACAAAAAAGATTGCTCCACAGTGGAATTTGAATCTATAACCCTCTACAGATTAGGCAGGTACATTATCTGTTATGCTATTAAGATCTGTTGTCATCTTTGTTTGTTCCAGACATATACAGAATTGATTAAATTTGCTTTCACTTTCCATGGATTTATTGTACTATTAAAAACAGAACTTTATAATTTTTCAAAAAAAAAAAATAATAAATCCTAATATTCATCTTATAGAAAGAAATTAAAGGTAAAATCTTGAAATTGTATAAAAAATTTTTAAAAACGTGAAAAATTGCTTTAATGTAAAATTTATGATTTTTAGAATAAAAAATTTTTCAAAAATATTACTAAGTTACCATATGCTCTAATTTAAGATTTTTGTATACGAGGGTATGTCAAAAATTATCTGCAATGTAGCTATAACTTTTATTGCAATACAAATAGGAAACTGAACTTAAGATCATTTTTCAATATAGTCCCCTTGCTTTTCAATGCACTTGGTCCATTGTTGCACAAGCTTCCTGATGCCCTCAGAAAAGGTTTTCAGCTGAGCAGTGAGCCACGCATGCACTGCGTCCTTCACTTCTTGGTCCGATATGAATTGACGGCCCCTTAATGCCTCTTTGAGTGAACCAAACAAGTGGTAGTCCAAAGGGGCAAGTTCAGGACTAAACAGAGGATGAGCCATTCCTTCAAATGTGAGTTTCTGGAGCGTTTCAGCAGCATAGGCAGCAGTTTGTGGATGGGCATTGTTGTGCAACAACACAACACCTTTCGACAGTAGTCCTCAGCGTTTGCTTTAAACTGCAGGCTTTAGCTTGTCAGTAAGCATATCACTGTAACATGCACTGTTTATTGTTGTGCCTCTCTCCTGATAATGTTCCAGTACTGGGCCTTTTGCATCCCAAAAAATGGTAAGCATCAGTTTTCCTGCAGATGGTTGGGTTTTGAACTTTTTCTTGCTGGGCAATTATGGATGTTTCCATTCCATACTCTGCTGTTTACTCTCCAGCTCGTAATGGTGGATCCAGGTTTCGTCACCGGAGATGATTCTAAGAAGCTGTCACCTTCATTACTGTAGTGATCCAAATGTTTTTGGCAGATGTCAAAGTGTTTATGCAACACCTAAGAGTTGTTTTGGGACCCATCTTGTGCAGACTTTATGAAACCCAAGTCTGTTATGGATGATTTCATAGGCAGAACCATGTCACGTGCATGCTCAATGTTGCATGTGACATGGTCCTTCCTCGTGCTTAACACTTGTGCAACCATTTTTGAATTTTTCAATCCATTTCTAAACACTCTGTTGTGGCAAGACACTGTTACCATATTGTGCCAAAAGTCTCTGATGGATTGCAGCCCCTGATACACCTTCCAACCACAAAAACTGGACCCCTGCTCATTGTTCCTCTTTGGTGCAAACTTCTAATGGAATGCCCATGATCTATCTGCAATAAAAGGAAGACAAATGGAGGAATTAGGATCGAAATTCCATAGCAGGACCACCACAGTATAACAATAAAATAAACGAGGACAGAGGTTAGCATGAACAATGTAAGAAGAGTTATGTCAACATTGTGGATAATTTTTGACCTACCTTCATATAAGATCAAATAGGAAAACAATCAGACTAACAAATATTCATTGACCTAAGATTTCCTTAAGCTGATTTTAGGATGAAGTTTATCTTATATTGTAGCTTAGACTACCTGTTTGTTACTAATCCTTGCTTTAAAGTAATTAGTTGACTAAAATTGACTGTTTACTGTATCTAAAAGCTGTGACTTAAGTTGTTATTTTGAACTGCATATTATGCAGTTGAAAATAACTTCCAGTTCAAAGACTTTCGGCACAATACAGGAACAGTGTCTTGTTGCAACAGTGTGTCTACGAATGGATTGAAAAATTCAAAATTTGGTAGTATGAATTCAGTTTTAATTACTCACTACAAATTAATCAATGTACATACTTAGGATTGACATAATATGTCAGTCCTAAATACAAGTATTCTTTCTGCAATTGTAATCTTATGATTACAAGAAGAAAATGGCAAGAACAAGAAAACAAAGAAATATAAATTTTTTTATAGTGAATTAAATAATAATCCAAACAAATGTAGAAATGAAAAAATATTTAGTCTGACGATTTTAATCAAGATTAAATATTTTTTGAGACAGTTTTGCCTCATCAAATTTATAACTATTAGTTTGAATATACTGTAGTTTGTTTCATTCTAGTTTTGTATTCATTTTTGAACTGGAACAAGTCTGTTTTATGAAGTGTTTCAACAATAAGATTGATAATATACTTTCATACAATTTTTTTTTTTTCCAATACAATGGTAATATTTTCAGTTAAGTGATGCTGCATTACAACAATAATCTCATTATATATCTGAAAAGACATAAGATGCAAAAAATATCAAGCAGAATTGTTGAACTGTAAATACAATTCTAATAAATGAGAGCAATCAAAACAAATGCTAGTTATTAAGTTTTGAATACTTTTGAATTTAAGATTCAAGTTAAAAAGCTTTGGAAAATCAAATTTAGAGTATTAAAAATTTTGGAATGGATTTAAATTTGTGTTGAAAGTGCTTTAAGAGACTGAATTTCTTTTAGAACTAAGTAAACTTAACAGCGGCTTTACTGTTTTTAGTTTAAATATTTAAAAGTTGGAGTAAAATTCTAGCCAATTATTTTAAATTGGCTAGAACAACTTGGTAAAAATGTAATTTTTCAAAGTCAACAGATGCTTTTATTTCAGCTTTGAAAGTTTAGTGAAGTTAGCTGCTTTAGATTTTTATCAAAAATATTAAGATTTTAAGCATGATTTGTATGCTGAAAAACTGATTAAAGAATTGAAAAACTGAATTAACCATTTTCCGTACGAATTTTTTTAAAGGAATTTTTAATTAAACATAAAAAATACTTAAAACTGAAAAAAACGAAAGAAATGCATTAATTTTGAAGAAAAAGCTTCAAACTTTATTTTCCATTGTCTAGCCTTTCTGCGAAACTTGACACTGAGTCATTGTTTACACAGCTGGATGACCTCCAGAACATCTGGTGTTGGATTTCCCGGGACATTCTCATAGACGTCTTGGGAGGACAACGGTTTAAAGTAGGCACTAGCTGGCGGTATATTTTTAAATATTATTAAAAAATTAAAATTTTAATTGCAATTTCCGACCCCCCGATTTAATTAAACTTATATATAATAAAATATATTAATTTAAAAAATTTAAAAACTATTGGAGGTCGTTTTTGATATCAGAAAGTAGCTTTAAATAACTTTACCGAGGTCAAATCCGTGCATTACAACTTTAAAACTATTAATTAAATTTGATAAAAAAATCGTATTAAAAAACAATTAAGCGTTAATCGCGCGCCATTAAACGTTCATTAAAATCGCGATAAAATTTTTTTGCGCGGGTAAAAATTTTTGAAAAAATTTGGAACTTAAAAAACATTCCAAAAAATAAAAAAAATTTTGTGGGAGGCGAAAGTACCGCGTTTTCTGTAACGCTATGTAACCTGCCCGAGTTAACTCGGGTCCGGACATTAATCAAAATATGAAGTTTGATTAAAATACATTCAGATGTTTTCCTGTGATGCAGCAACAAACATTTTGACTGTTAGTTATTTATATAGATATAAGGAGAGAACATGCCACAGATCCAAGAATCTAAATGAAAAACTGATCCTGTAAAATAATTGAAAAACTACATTGAAAAACTGACTTTTTAATCATTTTTACAGAAGTCATAAGTGCAAAATTTGAATAGAATTAATCAAACCATTTAAGATGTAAGACAATACATTTTATTCTGTATTATCTAAACTGTTTTGGAAGTTTCAAGGTACTTTGGCATTTTATTGAAAGATATTGAAAATGATGACATTCTAAGTTAATACAGATTATGTTGGGTGTTGACAATTTTTAAAATTCTAAATAGTGAGATATGAGAGCCAAAAATGCCTATATTAGTCTATCAGAGATGTCAAGTACAGCCATAAATTTTTAGTTTATTTTTCCTATGACTTTACTATTTAATTTTACTTTTTAAGACTGCTTTATAGAACAATCTTACTCTATTGTATCAAACTGTATTGAAAAATCTATTGTACAAAGTCAAATTATTAACAACTATTACTAGTAGTTTTTGAATTTAAAAAGTGATATTTATTACAACATATAATCATTATTATATTTAACATTTGATTTGCATTCAAGTATAATAATTTTATAGTTATATTAAAACAAGATTGAGGATATAGATAATGTATATATTCTTATATTTAACTTATTTTATTTACTAGAGGAAGGTGAGAAATGAACAGTTCTGAAGATTTCAATTCCCCTACTATTATTTGTAAAAATAAAACGGATGTTATTGAACAAAATGAAGAAGTAAAAGAAAAATTGTCAGAAGAATTAAACAATGCTTGTAATCTTGAGAAAAAAAGGGATTCTCTTCCTGAAGTAATCAATAAATCTGATAAAGAAAAACTTGATTTGAACAGTAAGGGTAAGTAATTTGATATAGGGTGAGTGTAAACAGCACCAAAGCTGCAGAAGGGCAATGAAGTGACAAACCCCCTAAAAATATAATAGCTCTCCAGTTTAGTGCAGTGCTCACATATATATGCATGCTTTTGCTTTCACTATATAAACTTAGATTACTGTTAATTTTTTATATGTGGATTGCAGCTAATAGTACTGGCTGGAAAAAAAATTACCAATTATTTGTCAATCTTTGTCTTGTTTGTATGAACCATCGGGGTCAGTCGCACCTCCCTGATTGGGCTACAGGTTGTTAAACCTGCTCGCTTGTCAAGATGGCTAAAATTTACTATTACTGGTCCTGAGAGTTGGGACTCTCAAATGTCGATTTGAGTGGAGGGGGTGTATTTGGGGTCGACGATAAGGTGAAGGCTGTATACGAGTAAAGGAGTCTACCATTTTAACAAATAAAACAAGAATTTATTAAAATAAACGAAAGTGACAAAACTACAGATACTAATCTGGACTCTAAACCACCTAACAGCTCTAGAGTTTACACGCCTTTTCATACCTCTTTGTAGGTTTCCATGAAGATTCCATAATGCACATACTCATCCAACAAATGATGAGTTTAGGGAAATCCACAATTTAGTACATATATAAAAATTCGCGACTGTGGCATCGGACGAGGATTGTTGTTAGAGGATTGGAATTTTCTCGGTTCAGAGACAAAACTTGATGTCGTCAGTCCAGCTTTCGTTCAGAGACTTCCCCGAGAGGGGGTAGGAAACGTCTTTTATAGCTTTTTGCTGGGAAAGTTGGTCATGTGTTCGGATGTTATATGAGATAAAGGTTATAGGTGTTCCAGGGATCTAAAACAAGTGACAAAATTTGGATGCTAACTATAAACTTCGAGCAAGTCAAGCTGCAAACTATGTGAGAACAATAGAATGCTGATAAGTTATGACCGGAAGGTTTGCACATTCCAGGCTACAATCGTTTTTTCTTTCCGTTATATGAACAGAAGTAAAATAATTAAAATTTTTTATTAATAAAATTGTGGATCTCACATTTGTCTTAATGTCTTATGTGCCTGCTCCTTGCCCCTTGCATTATTTCATAATGTAAACCTATTTTTAAATAATTGCCCACAACTGTCATTTAAATTTCTGTTTTTCTAAGCAGGAAATTAAAATGATAGTTGAAGGTATTAATCTAGGCAGTTTCTCTAATACTGGCCTATTTTTTTTCATATAAACTTTTTTTTTCTTACTTTCATTTATTAATTTAGTCTCCAATGATTTATTCCATTTATAATAAAAATTGATAAAGCAAAATAATTGTTTTAAAGACATGCAATAATATTTCTGTCAGATTTGATAAGATATCTGGAATTTGGTGATTGCAGAGTTGTTTCCCAGGCAACTTCTCTTCTTTCCCAGAATTTTGCATTACAGTACAGTCTAACATTATCAAATTATAATGGCTTCTGTTGGCTATTGCATGATGATTTTAGTGATTGCAGTGTTTAGACAGTTTAGTTGTTCATACTGAAATCTTGCATTAATCATTTCTCCAGATTTTAAACTTTTTTGAAATTTCCTGTAAACAAACTTGATACTTCTGATGTTTTAATAGAAACAAAGTGCAGTATTAAAGCAAACAAATGTATTTTTTTTTATAAATATACTTGTCTCCCTGAAATATCAAGAGTATAAAGATATAAATTTGTTATAAAAATGGTATGATTTACAAACTAAATGTAAACAATATTTAATGTGTACATATAATTAAGAAATGTATTAATTTCTTTATATAATTCTATAAAAGAATTTTGTTACAGATGAAATATCATTGGATAAAGATGCAATAAATAAACTCTCTTCAGGATTATTATCTATTTATGTAGATAATTTGCAAAATACAGCTAGTAATTTAACAGAGCTTACGTAAGTATATATTATTATATACTGTATTGTATTCTGTCATAACTTATATGTAAATACTGATACTTTTAATATTAAAATTATAGGAGAAATCAGAGTATTTTAATTGAAACTATTCAGCAAGAAAATACAAGATTTACAGAATGCACCAACTTGTACCATTTGGATGATCTAGTAAGTGATCTTAAAGCAGAAAAATAATTGCATTTAAGTTACTTTAAAGCATATGAAGCAAATTCAGCATCATAAGGAAACTAAAAGTAAAACAAAAACTTGGTTATAGAAGTTACTCAATATGCTTGCCATTGTTTACAATACATGGTTAACAAGTACAGTACATGAATTCAAATGAATTCAGTACAAAAATTAAATCAGATGACATAAGAATAAAATTTTTTTGTTTTTTTTGCTCAGACATTGACCTGTAGAACAAGAAAGAAAATTTCTTTTTTTTCCTATGATGCCAGACTTCTTGACATTTTGTATAGTAATGAATTACATTGAATAGTATTTTCAACTATTCAATTTTATCATTTGGATTTTTCTGTTCAAAAAATTTTTCCATTTCGAAAAACAATTTTTAAACAGTTGCATCTAGTAAAGAAAAAAAACTTTATTGTCACATAATTCCTTTTTATGTGAATTTTTTTTTTTCACTTGTAATTTTTGGCTAAAATTTTTTTGTAGATGTAGACATCGTTCTCTAGTGCCAAGTGATTGCCCTTGACAGGTATATCTATCAATCACTGCAGAGTGGTTAATTTTGTAAAATTAATAACCAAATTAGTATTATGATTAATCGGAATATAACTTCGCTAATTTCAGTTTCTACCCTGTTAAATTTTATTTGTGGCAAATAACCTGCATGGTTATAGCTTCTAAATCAGTGTTTCCCAACCTTTTTGTGCTATACCCCACCTAAGTCTTTCTAAAATTCTTATGCTCCCCCTAACATATACAACGGCTATATGGTTAACTTAAACTCTGGACGAGTCCATTTTCAAATTGTCCCATGTGGGACGTGGGCCCCATGTTGGGAAACACTGTTCTAAATTGATCTGAAAGTGAAGATCAGAGAAGCGAGTAGTGTAATTGGCAAGTCATCTCCATATATGTTGAATTATTTAAATGTGTTAAGTTACTTGAATGATTCATTTAATAACATTTCAATTGCATATAATTTAATAATTTTATAGAGTTCAAAAAGCAGCTCCTATTATGCTTCAGACACCACTGTGTTTTTCTAGTGAGCAGAGAAACCTCCAATTCCCCCATTATTGTGGAATGCATGAGAGCGGCTACATATGGGGATGAATGTGGGCAAATGGAGAAGGTAAAGTTAGACAGGGAGATCCGGAAATAACGCACTTCACTATGCATTTAACAAAAATTAACAATAATTTATTTTATGTAATGACTTTACAAGAATGAAACATAAAAGGGAAAGTCTAGAATCTAATGTAGTCATGTGGGGGAGAGAGGTTACAAATTTCAACACGTCAGTAAATGTCTGGATCAGTGGAATTGGCTTGGTCGTCTTGACAAAGGGAAGGAGTGTAGTCTTTGCTGATTGGAGTGGGTCTAGAATCCTGGATAATCCAGTTCAATCAGTATTCAGTTGTTAAAGGTGGCTAAGGTCAGGTGAACTGTGGGAGGTCGAAGGGATCGGCAGTGGAGTATGGCAGGGATGAACACACGAAAAAAAAGGTTGACAGGCCAACTCTCATCTTGTCATCTTTCCTTTTCCCTTTTATTTGGAATCTTCCCCTTGACGTTTCAATGCCCATTTTGGTGATATGGCCCATTGCTCCATTCTGCGACTTTGGTTTTACTTCCCTTGATGAGTAGTCATTCGGAACCTGTGTCACTCACGGAAGTAGTACAGTCCATGGGGAAAAAGTTCTAAAGTTCCTGAATGTTATCTCTGACATGGAATTTTTCTTTTCCTGTTCCAGTTTGGTGAAATTAATTCATAAAATCGGGTTCTTTTAATCAAATAATTTGCACTAGCCTGGGTTCTCACAAATATATATAACTTAATGCTGATATTTTAATATATTGTGAATAAAGATTTCATTGGATTGATGGGGTAAGGTAACAGGAACACATGGGTTATCTGCCAATGGGGTAACTTCTAGCAGGACTTCCTATGTGGAAACTGGATTCTATTTAGGTGTTACACATGAAGAAAACTCAGAACACTGCATGGTGACCAACTACTAGTATTCAATGGTTTTTATTTGGCCACTGGTGGGCTTGATTTGTATCACTGTATGGAGACTTTCAGGACACCGTGTATTGTATATCCACTCAGCAGTGAGCAACGAATATATTCGTCAAGGGCAATCGTGTGGCAGTGGTGAGGAACATACATATCCCCAAAAGAATTTGACGTATATTGCCAAAAATTACTGAAAAAAAATTTCACATAAAAAATGAATTATGTAACAAAAAAAAGAGACTTTTCTTTACTAGACATTACCATTTCAGAAAAAGATTTTGTAAACAGTTATGAGAAACGCGTGAAAAATACAGGTAACCCTGTATAACACGGCACTTCTATAGCATGGGTTCACTCTAACATGGTTCGGGAATTGGTAAAAACTCTCATACATGAAATGTAATAAAGGGTGCATTCTTTTATACCTCCGTGTGAGCATTCTAATTGTTTTCGTGGCTACTTTGAATGCTCTTTCAACAATAATCCATTTAATGATTAAATTTTAAATTGGGACCCTTCTTTTGTCTCTAAAAGCTCATTTTAGAATTATAGATTCCTCCATCACGATATTATCGATAGTGCAGGCGCCGCCATCTTTCTTACACCGCCGTTCCTAAATGCCTACAAATAGCAGTGCACTCCTGTTGCAGAGCAACTGCTATTAACGAACGCATCCAAAAACTGTTACTAGTTGATGATGCTCATTCTGAGATCATATAGGATGAATAATCCTCTGGTAAAATATTTACTTAAATAATAAGTATTTTACCTATGAAAAAAAATGAATAATAAATCCAATTTAAATAAGGATTTAACAATGTTTTTTAATTTTTGGAACCTAACCCCTCTTTTCGCACTAGTTCTTTGTTTTGTATAACAGATTTGCATAATATGGCAATTTTTTGGAACGTAACTCCCTTGTTATATGGGGTTACCTGTACTTTTTACAATCATATCCTTTCAACAGTGGAATAGTCAGGTATGGTGCTACCCCTTAGTAGTGGAGAATAAACGTGCAAAATTTTTAATGTGTCTATATTAATATTACAAAATTGAGTATTTTAAAAATACTCTTCAATAATTATGAAATATTCATTAGTTTCTATTCAAATTTTATTAAATATATTGTGTTAACATTTTAGAATGAATAAAAATATAATTAAAATATAATAAAGGTAGCCCTCTGTTTATGCCGGTTCAATTTACGCCGATTCACAATAATGCCGCTGCGCAATTCTCCATTTCACAATGTAATTCCCCACGCCAGACTGATTTTTCATTTGTGTTGACGTATTTACCAAGCCCTGACACTGTACCTTTTGTTAAAACAAAGATTTTTATTGAATATATTTTTTTTCTGTTTAATATTATTGGGTATGTATACATTTGCATTAAATCAATATTAAAATACTAAATGTTTAGGTACCCACGAGTCAAGTTATCAAACTTAATAGTCCAAAAAATGGTGTCCTAATCCATAGCTCCAATGAATGTATCCCATATCAGTTCATTCAGGAAAACACTTTATGACCCAGTAGCACTTCCAGCGATCACAAACTATCGTTTGTGAGACAAATCTACTTCTTGTCAGTCAGATGATATCTCTCTCTCTTTAGCCACTTTGAATTTTCTCACTCAAACCGACCTTATATATGCACTACGGCAACCAGTGGTCGACCAATAAGTGTCTCCGCTCGTCTGTAGCTCTGTTGGGTTAATGTATCCTTTCAACTATGTAAAGTTTAGCAGATGAACTTTGTGAGTTAGACAATGATTGGGAGTGAAGTTCAAATGTAAAAAGGAGCATCATCGCATCCATTCGACCATATTCTGAAATTCTCAATGAAAGAAAACAAAAATGTAAACAATTAAAGATGGATACTTTTCCAAAAAATGTAAGAGATCGAAACAAACTTTTTAATAAAAACATTTCACTTTATTTTATGATAAATTTAAATACAAATAAAATACATTTTAAAAGTTTGTATTATATTGTATTAACAAACAAAATTATTTGCATATTTTTTACTTATGAACCTAACCCTATACCTCAGTGTAATTATGGGTTCATTTTACACCGATTCGATTTGCGCCAGCTTTTGCAGGAATGGAACTGCGGCATAAACTGAGGGCTACCTGTATCTATAAATATGAGGCAGATAATAGTAAGGACTTATCACACCAATGATAAAGGGCACAGACATTCTGGAATCAAAGTAAAACGTGTAATAAAACAATTTAATAAAGAGGGTGTATAATAAGATTATTACATAAGTATGGAAACCAAAAAACCCAAAATGCATTTTGGACTATTCTCCAATAGAAAATAGTTGGTATTAACTAAAAGGTTTTAGTATATTTTTTTCACCTTATAATTTTTAAATATACTAAAACCTTTTAGTTAATACCAACTGATGAGGAACTATTTTCTATTGGAGAATAGTCCAAAATGCGTTTTGGGTTTTTTGGTTTCCATACTTATGTAATCATCTTATTGTACACCCTCTTTTTTATTAAATTGTTTTATTACATGTTTTTACTTTGATTCCAGAGTGTCTGTGCCCTTTATCATTGGTGTGATAAGCCCTCACTATTATCTGCCTCATGGTTGTAGATATTTTAATTATACCCAGGGCTAAAAGCAATTTCTGTAATAACTTTTATATATTTTTTTACTTCTAAATTGGTAAATTGCAATTTTTGACTGCAAAATTTATTAAATGATAGAAGAAATCTTAACTTGTTGCTGGTTTTTTCTTGCATATAATGAAAATCTTAAAACATTGTAAATTTTAACTCTGTGTAATTATAATCCAGTAATAATTTTTATTATAATAATTACTAAGTTTACATTTTTTGATTTTAATAGTTTGCAAGAGCAAAGCATTATCATTTGAAACTTCAAAATATTAAGAAAGAGATGTCAGTTTTACATGAACGAACTAATAAATTAAAGGTAATTTTTTTTAATAAATATTAAAATGAGAAATTAATCCCAGTAATTATTACAGAATATTTTAAAAGTATATTTATAAGTATTTAAAATATGCATTGTTTTCAAAGCTACATTTTTACTAAGCAAAAAATTACAAATTAAAAAATAATCTGTTTTGAATCTAATAATTTATTAGTAATGCAATTTTGCAAATTCTAAATATGATGATGATCAACAGATTAACCAAACTGTCTTTCAGCATGCAAGTTGTTTACTTGCCAAGTTTTTAATTAAAAACAAATACTTTTGACGTTTCAAACTGTCATCTTCAGGTTGAGTATATATAGTCAAGTAAACAACTTTAATGCTAAAAGACAGTTTGGTTTATTCTTAATCTAAGTTTGGCATCATTAAAGAGCTTTTATTTACTATGGAAACTTCAAAACGGTTCTTCACTTTCAACAGATAGTTAAGCTGTAATAATAAACATTTTTGTTAAATCATTACTTGTTGTGTGAGATTTCTGAACTTAACTAAAATAAATCTTAAGTTGTAAAACTAAATTAGAACATTGGAATCACCATTTATTCAAATTAATATGCCTCAATGTCCTTGAGTTACTATAAATTTTTGTCTACTGGTACATATTTTCTATTATCAGGACTTATTACACTGGTTTTACAGATACTGCAACAAAGTTTCACAGATCAGAAATTTGTTTTATTTAATATACCTGGACACACACATAATATTGCGTTTCGGACTCTTTCGTCCCTCCTCAGCAGGTATTTGTTGTACTGTACATGCTAAATAAATTAAAACAATAAAATAATTTTTTAAAAACACAACATTTTACATTTCCTGATCACCATTTATTCAATTCCAGTTTAAACAGACTGTCTTAAAATATAAAAACTGAAGATTTTTTTATTGATTTTTATAAATTACTTTTGGGTTTGCCATTTCATATTAATATCATACCTTTTTCTTTCACTCAACTGCTGCTTTTATTAGAGTTGATTAAAATTGATACTGTGAGTAAATATGAGGACTTTAAGGACTTATGCATACAACTGCAAATAAAATATTCTTTTTGATATTAGTAAGTTGTACTAACCAAAAACATATTGTGGATATAGAACCACAAGTGACTGGTCCAGTACTATTTTCTGAAAATTAGTTTTAGTCAATCTTTGCATATAAAAATTTTGCTATCTTAATCATTTTGAATTTTACATATCTGCATATTGTCAAAGTAGAATCTGGAATATAATAGGAATACTATTATTGAAAAATTGCAAAATTTAGAGTTGGCCAGATATTGTTGACCATATGTAGAATAGCAAGAAAATATGAAAGGGTGCTCAAATAGATTGCTTTCCTGAGAAATGCATAATAATCTTAAATGTTGTGCAATGTTTAGTGGGAAGCATGACTAAGACATGGCAAGTGCTAGTAATATCCAAGATTTTATTTGAAATAGTGTTTGTTACAGTATAAAGTTTTTTTTAATTTTCAATAAATTAAAATTTATTCATATTATAAACTGTGNACATTTTAAAAGTTTGTATTATATTGTATTAACAAACAAAATTATTTGCATATTTTTTACTTATGAACCTAACCCTATACCTCAGTGTAATTATGGGTTCATTTTACACCGATTCGATTTGCGCCAGCTTTTGCAGGAATGGAACTGCGGCATAAACTGAGGGCTACCTGTATCTATAAATATGAGGCAGATAATAGTAAGGACTTATCACACCAATGATAAAGGGCACAGACATTCTGGAATCAAAGTAAAACGTGTAATGAAACAATTTAATAAAGAGGGTGTATAATAAGATTATTACATAAGTATGGAAACCAAAAAACCCAAAATGCATTTTGGACTATTCTCCAATAGAAAATAGTTGGTATTAACTAAAAGGTTTTAGTATATTTTTTTCACCTTATAATTTTTAAATATACTAAAACCTTTTAGTTAATACCAACTGATGAGGAACTATTTTCTATTGGAGAATAGTCCAAAATGCGTTTTGGGTTTTTTGGTTTCCATACTTATGTAATCATCTTATTGTACACCCTCTTTTTTATTAAATTGTTTTATTACATGTTTTTACTTTGATTCCAGAGTGTCTGTGCCCTTTATCATTGGTGTGATAAGCCCTCACTATTATCTGCCTCATGGTTGTAGATATTTTAATTATACCCAGGGCTAAAAGCAATTTCTGTAATAACTTTTATATATTTTTTTACTTCTAAATTGGTAAATTGCAATTTTTGACTGCAAAATTTATTAAATGATAGAAGAAATCTTAACTTGTTGCTGGTTTTTTCTTGCATATAATGAAAATCTTAAAACATTGTAAATTTTAACTCTGTGTAATTATAATCCAGTAATAATTTTTATTATAATAATTACTAAGTTTACATTTTTTGATTTTAATAGTTTGCAAGAGCAAAGCATTATCATTTGAAACTTCAAAATATTAAGAAAGAGATGTCAGTTTTACATGAACGAACTAATAAATTAAAGGTAATTTTTTTTAATAAATATTAAAATGAGAAATTAATCCCAGTAATTATTACAGAATATTTTAAAAGTATATTTATAAGTATTTAAAATATGCATTGTTTTCAAAGCTACATTTTTACTAAGCAAAAAATTACAAATTAAAAAATAATCTGTTTTGAATCTAATAATTTATTAGTAATGCAATTTTGCAAATTCTAAATATGATGATGATCAACAGATTAACCAAACTGTCTTTCAGCATGCAAGTTGTTTACTTGCCAAGTTTTTAATTAAAAACAAATACTTTTGACGTTTCAAACTGTCATCTTCAGGTTGAGTATATATAGTCAAGTAAACAACTTTAATGCTAAAAGACAGTTTGGTTTATTCTTAATCTAAGTTTGGCATCATTAAAGAGCTTTTATTTACTATGGAAACTTCAAAACGGTTCTTCACTTTCAACAGATAGTTAAGCTGTAATAATAAACATTTTTGTTAAATCATTACTTGTTGTGTGAGATTTCTGAACTTAACTAAAATAAATCTTAAGTTGTAAAACTAAATTAGAACATTGGAATCACCATTTATTCAAATTAATATGCCTCAATGTCCTTGAGTTACTATAAATTTTTGTCTACTGGTACATATTTTCTATTATCAGGACTTATTACACTGGTTTTACAGATACTGCAACAAAGTTTCACAGATCAGAAATTTGTTTTATTTAATATACCTGGACACACACATAATATTGCGTTTCGGACTCTTTCGTCCCTCCTCAGCAGGTATTTGTTGTACTGTACATGCTAAATAAATTAAAACAATAAAATAATTTTTTAAAAACACAACATTTTACATTTCCTGATCACCATTTATTCAATTCCAGTTTAAACAGACTGTCTTAAAATATAAAAACTGAAGATTTTTTTATTGATTTTTATAAATTACTTTTGGGTTTGCCATTTCAATATTAATATCATACCTTTTTCTTTCACTCAACTGCTGCTTTTATTAGAGTTGATTAAAATTGATACTGTGAGTAAATATGAGGACTTTAAGGACTTATGCATACAACTGCAAATAAAATATTCTTTTTGATATTAGTAAGTTGTACTAACCAAAAACATATTGTGGATATAGAACCACAAGTGACTGGTCCAGTACTATTTTCTGAAAATTAGTTTTAGTCAATCTTTGCATATAAAAATTTTGCTATCTTAATCATTTTGAATTTTACATATCTGCATATTGTCAAAGTAGAATCTGGAATATAATAGGAATACTATTATTGAAAAATTGCAAAATTTAGAGCTGGCCAGATATTGTTGACCATATGTAGAATAGCAAGAAAATATGAAAGGGTGCTCAAATAGATTGCTTTCCTGAGAAATGCATAATAATCTTAAATGTTGTGCAATGTTTAGTGGGAAGCATGACTAAGACATGGCAAGTGCTAGTAATATCCAAGATTTTATTTGAAATAGTGTTTGTTACAGTATAAAGTTTTTTTTAATTTTCAATAAATTAAAATTTATTCATATTATAAACTGTGTAATTTTTTTTTATTGTTGAACAGAAGAGGGCTCTTAAATTACAACAGCAAAAACAAAAAGAGGCACTGCAGCGAGAACAACAAAAGGAACGCCTGCTAGAATATGAAAAACAGCTAATACCCAAATTGGCATCAAATAAATAAATAAATGAATTTCTATGTAGTAATAATTTCTTCGGTCATCTATAAATGTTAATAGAACATTTTTATGTAGATATTGGTGTAATAATTTTATAAAATGACTATTTTGAATTGATTATTTATTGGATAAGATATTTGTTTTATAAACAATGTACAGCTTTCAATGTGTATTTTTTAAAATTCATAATCTAATATTCAGTTTGATTTTGAAAGCCACTAATGTATCATAGTAATCTAGTTACAATTATATTTCTAACTTATTAAATTTATTGTTAATGTGACAATGTAATTTGAAGTATTCAATAAAACAATCGAGTAACCTTAATCTATTTTTATTATTTAAATATACAATATATCATTAAATGTTTAACATTATATAAATTTGAGGTGCAATAATTTAAAATTTTAATTTTGTAATAAAATATTTTGAGCAAATAGTTCTATTTTATACATTGCTGTTTACAAAAGTCTACAATGATTATTTTTTAATAGATTTTCAAATTATTGATATTTCTGTATTATTAATCTTAGTGTCTTATTAGGAATCACTTCTGTTGTTGAAAGCTTTTCATTTGTCATTGGACTGGTGTTGTTGCCATTTTTGATCCATTCCAATATGGCTGCTCTTTCGTAGCTATAGCCATCTATAAAAAAATATATCGGATATAATTAACATCAATAAAAACAGAAAACATTGACCAAAACCGTTTTAACTAAATTCTCAGGTTAGAAAAACATATCTATCTGTATTCTTCGGTTTATAATTTTTGAAAAAGTTGCATATATTTCAAGATGTACATGTCTGTGCTTCAAATTAATACATTAATGTTAAGTAACCATTTAAAAAGAGAATTTACAAAATACAAAATTTGTTTTTTGAAACTGTGTTTTGTTTTTATAATTCTGGCATAGTAAACAGTAGTAGTAGTAGTGTCTTTGGAATAAAACACAATACTAGTTTACTACGCCAGAACAAAATATAAAATACATAACCTAATTCAAGACTTATGGGAGGTTATAGAACATCCTCCACACAGCTGTGAGATATTCCATTTTCTTATAATGGACCCCTTTTTAATTATTCCAGATATTTTCAGGTTGCCTGGGTTGTCACAATGTTGTAATAAATGAGCATTGGCTAATTTAGTGTAGAGAGACCCTTCTGAAAAGGATTCAGGAGCATCAATATATTAATATGTATTTAGAACCATTTAAGCAGATTTGAGTACAGTAATATCCCGAACTTACGTGATAGGTGGGACCGAGCGATAACCGCGTAAGCCGGGGTATAATTTCACATATAAATACATACAAATAATTTTTAATTGGAGCCAGAGACTAAAAAAAACAATAATTTAGAAAAAAAATTTTTCACAATTGATTATCACACCGTAATTTTAACATTGTTTCCATCTCAGCGATAATACCGTGACGTTTACGAATGATGCTTGAATTTAAAGATTGAGCATTTTTCGCAGCTTCAAGAATTTTTTCTTTACCTTTTATAATTGTTCTGACCGTTCAATTATATGGGTCCTATAGAAAGATACCATAGAATCAGGGGAAAAAATATAATCTAATCAGAATTTAAGAGACCATCTTATCAAATTGACAGAATGAGATTTTGAGGAAAGAAATTTCATTTTTGCACTAATTTGCAATTCTCTTTGCTATGATTTAGTTTTTCCACAGGAAATTACAATAAGGTTCCTTTTAAATTATTATCTTGTAGGACCACCCTCCCTTATACATGTGGTAATATGGGGCCTAACTAGATGCAATTCTGCAAAAATTTGCCCAGAGATGTTGCAAATGCTGCTCTGGATCCCTCACACAATTTGAAGTTGGTCTACCCAGTCTCCAGATGGGACACCAAGGAGACATTTTTCAGAAACTGTATTTGGTCAAGCATTATCTTGCTGGAAAATGGCTGTTTACAGCCTTATCACGAAAGACCACATGTTCAGAAAATCCTGTGCCATCAGATGTTCCTTGCACCATTACTACATATAATACAGTAGAACCTCGATTATCTGGACAAGGAAAAATTCGGATAATCGAAACAAATACTTTAATTTGTCTTTTAATGATAATACAACACTTTTCTTTTCGATGACATATCGGTAATATTAAAAGTAAATACTGTATTTAAATCGTGATCAAATTTTCAAGAAACAAACGATCGTATTGAATTTGTACTACTACTGACCAACGCTAACAGACTACCTATTGTTTAAAATGCCCTCTGGTGGCGCAAGAAGACTGATTTTATAAAATAAAAAGCAGCTGAAACTGCATTTTTATGAATAAAAATTTGACAAACTATCATTTTATGACAAGTAAAATTTTTTTGTCGTGTTCGCAGCTTTTAAGTAATGCATAAACCTTCAAAACACGAGGCTCAGGCGGTGGCCCACACCTTACGTCGCCCTTGTTCATAGAAATGATGTAATTTGAAAATAAAATTATTTATAAATATGTATGTCAAGTTATATTTTTATTACGACGTAAAATATATTTAAGAGTTTATGGCCACTGCGCCGGGTGAGGAGATGTTGAAACAAAAAAAATTATGCATTCCATCACGTACATAAACAGTATCGTAATTCGCCGCGTGCAAATCAGCAAATTCGTAAAATTTTTGTTTATTTTGAATAATCTTGATAATCGAGGTTCTACTGTATTAGTGACTGACATATGATATGGCTACTCAGATCAGCATGCTCAATATTCAGGGCAGTGTGTCAATCAACAGTAAAAGTGGGATTGAAGCATTCATCAGTAGTCCTTCAGCATAATCTGAATATAGACTGTGATGTCTGTGTTAACATGCAATAATGCATGAGTTGATTTTTTTATTTATCAGTGCTTTCATGTGTTAATACACAATTTAATGATTGTCGATGAGAAAGATTAAATCAAGAGTGATACATAAGGGCCATACTTTCCCTCTGTTATATATAACAGTCGGGAAAGTAAGCATTTTAAGAGTTTTACATTTTTTGGACTCAGGACCTTCAAACATTAGGAAAAATACGCCCAACTTTTTTTGCATTTCTCGTGTGTGGGAAACAAAATTTTTTTAATCTCTTGAAGCTTAATGCTTGTGCCTTTCATCAAAAATTTCTGAAATTTTGCAAGGAGGTTTGTGCATTAGGGATTGATACTATTAAATTCTGGTGTTTAAAGGTCAGGGGATGGAGAGATTAAAAGTCATGACCCCTCTGAGAGGGGTCAGTGTCTTATTTTCTCGTTATTAGCATTTACAATTATTTTTACAAAACTATATATGGCAATCTCAGAGCAAGTGATTCAAATCTGGTTTTTGGTGTTTTAAGCAAACTCCACATGCTAAGGCTATAAAGCAACTGCCTTATCTAATGCAGTACAGATCCAAGTCAAATTTGTTGCTAAATCACAAGACCAAAAAGAAGAAACTATGGGAAATACTGTGCAAAAGTTTTTGTTAATTATCTCAATTAGGATTTATTGACATGGTTCATTCTTGCTCTGAAATCTTCATATATTTCTTTTCAATCAGCTAGTTATTTTATACTTGGACTTACCCATGGCTACAACAGGATCAATCATTTTTTCATGTGTTATAGGACAAAAAAATTCTTCTGGAATTAAAGCACTTTCTTCCAAAAGACATTGGTGTTGCCATAAGGGATTTTTAAGTGCTTGAATACCTCGAAGAATTTTATTTCGATGGCCTAAAATATCTGAAAGAAATTTTTTACCATTTGAAATTAAATGATATTTATAATACAGTAATATTTCACTTTTAAATCTGTACCTTGTCCTAGCATAGTCCCCCTGTTTTTTTAATAACATTGAAGTATTTAATTTAGAAGTGATCTAGTTAAAAGGCTTTTATAAGCCTTTTAACTAGATCACTTCTACTTTATCAAAGAGATTAATAAATTAATTTCATTTATTTTAATGTCTGATAACAATTATACAACGTTTACTACTCTGCAGCAAATAAAAAACAATGGAGCTGTAACCCAAGAGCCATCTAGAGCATGTGGGAATTCCAATCTATTTCACTTATGATTAGAATAATTTTATTCTTGTAAATATTGATTGGCATTCATTGAATCATTTAAATCATTCATTGGGGGAGAGAAGGAATGAGCTCATTGTATCAAATTTTTATATATCAAGTACTGTAAATATAGGTAACACTATAGTATCAATGTAAATTTAAGGTTTATTTTAAAACAAATAAAGTGAAAACATTTTAAAAATAAACAATATCGAATTACTTTTACATATATAGTTTAAAACACATGTACTAATACTAACATTTCTCTGCAGAGTAAACCAGTGATATATGATAAAAATTATTAACATGCACCACTGTAAACACTGAAGAATATATTTTGATAAAACTGATATATTTTTTATGTAGTATACTCTGCACCTTTGAAATAACTATTGAAAAAAACAACAGTTAATAGCTTCTAAACTGCCTACTAGTATATTTCAAACAAAAATTTTGTACGAATTGAGTATCATACACAATTAAATATAAAAGCTTTGAGTGTTATTGATATTAGAAAAAATTGTGTCTTTAGACATAATCACTTTTTGCTGTTTAAAGCAAGTAATTCTTTTAGTTTCTAAGTCAACAGTGAGATTATGTAGAGAAAAGGAATTACAGAAAATATTTTTTTAAAAATGGAGCAGAAACAAGAATTCCAAAATATGAAAGTGAATAAAAGCTGTTTGAAGATAATTAAAATTTTTTGAATGGCTTCTTTGTTAATACAAAAATGAATGGGGCAAATGCACCTTTACTCCTTTTTCCATCTTTAGTGATTTATTTACCATTTCAATTTTTTCTAAAATGTTTGCAGCATGCAAAGAATTTTTCATGCTTTTAAAGACACTAAAGTTTAAACAAAAGGAAAACTGTTGGATGAATTCATAATTGCAGAGTAAAATCAGTAGCCTGATGGATAGATAATTTGAAAACAGATACAGAATACCCACGAGTTAACCTGGATCATTGTATGTAAAAGTCAGGAAAGTGGAAAAATATACAACATATATTATTTTATTGTAATTAAATGATATTCTTACCTATTTTCATAGATATTGAGAGATTCTCGTGTGTTAAATGTAGAAGTTCTTTACCATCAATGGCATGATTACGAAATGTTTCTTCATATTCTTTTAAATTTAATCCTTCTAACCAATTACATACATTATCTACAGACCACTGGGAAACAGATTTAACTCCATGATTTGATGGACCAATACAAATACGTGATGTACTCAAATTATTTGCATTTGGACTTTCATCACTAATTTCAGAATTAACCAGAGACCATAAAATAATAGTCTTATCATTAGATCCAGTTGCCAGATATTTATTATCAGATGTAAATGCACAGCATGTAATATATCTGAAAATATAAAAACTGGTTTCTTTTGCTTACATTAAATAAAATAATAAAAATATCAGATTGCCTTAATATTACCTGTTATGTCTCTCTAATTGGGTTAATATTTCTCCAGTTTGCTACATTTAAATATATTTTATAAGTTTATAAACATATATTGTTTGTACTGTATTCAATAATTAAAATACACGTAATCATAACAACATATTTAACTTACAGCATCTCTTATTATTACAGATTTATCACCTGCACTAATGGATTAAAAAATTATTAACATTATATTGTTTCATCAAAAAATTTAATAACTAAATTATTACTATATAAAATCATTAATAAATTATTTATATTAATATTGATAATGGACTAAAAGAATACTTTATATTGATATTTTGAGTAAGTGTTGCATTAGTTTTATATTTTACAAATATATAATTATTCCACCTCAATATTAAAAAAAATTTAGATAAACATTTATATATTTAGTTGTATTTTAGCAGAACAAAAGGGTTTTATATCAAAATGCTTTATGAATAGTATTCTAATAAAAAAAAAAAAGCGCCAGAATTTCTTGAAAACAATTACATTAGTAATATAACCCAGTAATATTACAGTAGTAATTGTATATTTTATGAAAACCATAGATATTTTATAAAAAAAGAAAATATGATGATGGAAATACTGTTAATTAAATTACTTCTAAAATATTCAAAATTATCATATTTGAAAATTTATATTTATTAAAATAAATTATATACTGCAGTAAAATGTTACCCTGATGCAAGGAGAGATCCATCACTAGAAAATCTGCAGCACATAACATTTGCAGAATGCCCTTCTAATGTCATACATAAATGCATAGAACAGTTTATGCCAGCCTTTATTTTCCACAATTTTATTAAATCATCATTTCCACCTGAAGCAACAATATAAACTGTTGACATGTTGTCGCTTCCAGCTGTAAATATAAATTTTGTATTTTAATGTAAAACTCATTAATTAAGAATGTGTATACTTGTTATGTGTATTAATTATTAATTAAATGTATAGTAAATACTATTCACATAAAATAAATAGTAATAGTTTAATTTTTTTTCTGTATGATGTTACTAAAACAAAAAGCAAATAAATTCATTGAATTTACTTATAAGGAATGAATATTTTATTTATTAATAAAATAAAAACAAATGTTAACAAAACTTAATTACTTAAACCATTTTCTTGTATAAGTTCAATTAATTCTGTAATGTTTTCTGTAGAAATTAGAAAAAGAAAAAAAACATAAAATATACAAAAATTCAATATAAAAATATAATATTGATTTTGCATTTGAGTGTTTAATGTCCTCACATAATAAATCAGTTATTTCATATTTGATAAATAATTTTTTAGAAATTTTAAAATATACTAAGCTTAAAATTAGTTATTTCAAATACAACTTTTTACAATTAAAAACTATCCATAATTATGGCAATTGTACTAAATAAATTCTCTATTTCTCCACTTGTTTCCTTAAATTTATATTTCTCATTGAAAATATTGAACAAAGACAGAATATTTACTGTTTATTTCATAGAGAGGATTGAAATCACAACAAGAAACACCAAGATCATGAGCTTCAATCTGAGAAAATAAACATTTTCCATGACCATAACGTGCATCCCATAATCTTAATTCTCCTCTACTTGAACCTGACACTAGATAAGTACTATCTGGTGAAAAAGCACATGATGTTATCATTGCTTCATGTCCTTCCAAAATTCTAAGAAAAAAGAAAAAAAATATAACACCTAAATTATTATATTCATAAAAATTATATAAAATCTAAATTTAATTTTTGAATTTATTAACATTAATTCATAAAGATAAAAATTAAACTACTCAACATTATTTTTACCTCTGGAAAAATAAAGGTGGTTCCTTATCAATTCTGAAAACTACATTTCAAAAATCAGCAAGAACATTCACATAAAATGGTTTCAATATCTGAAAACTGATGTTATCAGGTATCTGCATTTACCAATGTAAAGCAGACACTGTAACATCGTCAATATCAGGAGTCACTCTCAGTGAATAAAATAAGCAGCTGCAACTTGCAACTAATACTTCCACATTTCTAAACTAAATGTATTGTTTAAAGTATCTTAAAGCATAGCTTTGTTGCTATGTTTGTAAGTTTGTTAAGATCCCTCCAACGGATGATGTTTGAATAAAATAAATCTTCTATACATTTGATAAAATTGCCAGGACAAAAATTGTAAAATTAACAAACAATTAAAGACTATACAATAAAAAGTCTTCCCTTGTCCTTTCTCACACCTCAGAAAAATAGCAGTCTTTTGGCAAAGTTGATCTTTTATTAGAGGCTGCCTGTCCACCTCATTATGCAAAGCATTACAAAACTTCCTTCTGGTGAGTAAGGAAGGACAAGGGAAGACTTATTTATTGTATAGTCTTTGTTTGTTAATTTTAAAACAAATCTTCGTTCACACTTGACAAATTAAATTTACTTTCAGAATTTAATTATAGCAAACATAATCACACAGATTACAGTAACTGGTCAAGTATATTGATTGCACTTGATGTTTCAAATAGTAGAAAAGTAGGAATCTGCTTTCCCTGATTTATTAACACCAAAAACACAAGTGGTGCATCTTTTAATTTATTCTTTTATTTCATCCTATTCCCATCTTACCATGTGTTGTAAAACTTACACTAAATAAATATTACTTTGATACAAATAAATATTAATTTGAATTTAATATAATAGCAACTTCTAGAATGAATATAGTCAATAAACAGTCTCTACCTTAATTTGACTGTTGAGTGTCATTTTCAGTATCTATCATCATTTTATCATTGTTGAATATATAACTTAAATTTGGTAAATATTAATGTATGAAATTTTTATTTTTACTATTCATTCAGTAAATTAAATATTTTTTTCGATATTTATAATTTTTAATAAATTTATTCATCATAAATCTATCAATATAACAAAAGTACTCATGCTGTTCTTTTACTACATTTCTCTTCATAATTATAAACTGAAAACTATTATTGTAATAGTAATTATTAGTGATGTAATGAATATTCGGCCTATTTTTCGCCATTCGGCCGAATACCGAATACCTAAAAACAGGAGTAAGAAATAACCAAAAACACAGTAAATTAATCATTTTGGTATTTAGATTTAATGTTATCGGGTTAGTGTTGTTTGTTTATATTTATTTATAACTTATAACTTGCACAAAATAAAAAAGAAAATAATATTAGTCACATTTTTTCACAATTTATAATTACAAAGATCAGCAGCACACGTACACACCTATTTGTTCGAGAATCGTCGCACATCTGACAGTGAGAGTCTGACCCTGCCTATCCTTTTTAAGTGCTCGTCTTTGCTCTTCCCTTTCTCTTTCCTCTATCGCTCTAGTCCACGTATGCCTATGCATACATCATAATACATGCTCACGATACTTTCGATTCGTCACTTTTCCATCATAGATTTCCCATTTTACAATTACGTGACTCATAGCCTGGTGATAACGGNGTATGCCTATGCATACATCATAATACATGCTCACGATACTTTCGATTCGTCACTTTTCCATCATAGATTTCCCATTTTACAATTACGTGACTCATAGCCTGGTGATAACAGAGAAAAGAGACAGATGGGACGTCAGTATAAGTCACAGTTATGATTTCACATAGACAGCTTGGTAGCTCGAACGGCCCCAGGCTTTCGCCCGTGCATGCTAAGTGACTTTCATTACAAGCATTTGGCTTTCCGAAGTCTATGACAACAATTATTTGGCATTCATGGCCACGAATTTCGCGCAAATAAGCTGCATCGACTTGTTCGATTATGCTATCGACTCAATTTCATATTTATTTTCACATTTTCACTTCGCGGTCATTCTCTGTTCTTTTTCCGTTATTTACACGTGTAGGTCATTTCAATGTTATCCACATTTGATATCATCACTTATCACATACTGCCATGACGCTCATGTCTGTCTGCTTCAACTGTAAAGAATTAACGCAATTGGCAAAGCGTAGTGACAGTGGGCCAATAGAGAGCAGGATCCTTGCCATAATGCGGTTTGTGCGCCAATTTTCGTACGTGCGTTAATTGTGCCGAATATTTGGCCACGCTCCTGGCCGAATATACTATTCGTTGCAACACTAGTAATTATACATATATATTGAACTATATATATATACTAGCTGTTACCCGCAACTTCATTCTCATGGATTTTGCAAGCAAACCCCATTTATATTCAGTATTTCAACAACCATACTAATTGTTATATAATACCTACCACTGAGAATGATGAGAATTGCCGAGAATCAAACAAACTGTTTTCAATTTGATCAATTTGATCAATTTTCTGGAATGTTTACAATCATTCTATAATCAAACCAATATCAATAAAAAATTCAAATTTAAAACGGTTCAAACATTTTTAAAATCAAAATATATAAAAATATTTATAACAATGTCTGAAATGTTATCAATTTAATACACCTAAGTACTCAATGAAGACTAAACATAGTTGAAAACAAAAATCACATCTAAAATAGTATAGTAGAAGCCATTCTTCAGGTTAAGCCTTAATGCTCTCCCTCTCCCCCTGCAGGGAATTTCGAAAAATCCCTTCTTAGTGTGCGTTTTCATGACACACCCTAACTGTGTACCAAATTTCACCTCTTTAGGTTCAGCAGTTTGCTCTGGGTGATGATGAATCAGTCAGTCAGTCAGGACAAGTAATTTTATATATTTAGATGTATAGTTCATACTAATTATATGTATTTTTTGTATGTTAGTACTGAATATACAATACTTTGTAAATTAGTACCATGAAAATAAGACAGTGTCTTATATTAATTTTTGCTCTCAAAGATGCACTAGGTCTTATTTTCAGGGGATGTCTTATTTTTCCACGAAGAAGAATTCACATTTATTGTTGAACAAAAAATTCCCAAGTCTAACTTAAACGAGAGTGACGTATATCCGGTCGTGTCAAACTGAACTTATGAAGTCCCGTGCTGGAGTGGACTTCCCACTCTTGCTTCAACTTAACCTTTTCATAGCGTCGACATCGGGCTCGATGACCAATTAGTGCTTACTGAACCGTAGCACTATGCAAATGTAATGGGGTGTGATTCCCGGCCGACCAATTAGTGATCACCAGCCATAACATTATGCAAATCTGTGATTCCCAAGCCATAGTCTTATACAAATCATGCCGTGTGGCGTGATTGTCTGTTGACCAATCAGTGGCTGTACTTTCAAAAAGCCAACAGCCACTTTCAACCATCTGTTGATGACCATTACGACTAAAAAAAAACTTTGCTAGGTCTTACTTTCAGGGGGAAGGTCTTATATTTCACAATTCAGCAAAACCTGTGCTAGGTCTTATTTTCTAAGAATGTCTTATTTTCGGGGAAACATGGTATTGAACTTAAAATAAAAGAAGAAAAATTGTTAGAAGAAAAATTTATTTACATGAACCTAAAAATATATTCATTTCAGACTAGAAATTATTATAATTATTTATCATGACATGATCACAATGCTGGGCTGCATTTTTAATCATCTTTTAATTTTAAAAAAATTATGTGAATTCCAGTCCAAACAAGAAGTTTGTATATATTAATAGTTAATCCAGCTCCTAAGCTTTCCATATATGGTCTGAATTTTAGTAGTGCCTTGCCCCTATGCGTTATAATTCTCCAGAAGACAATCAAATCATTTGGGTAATCTAGCTAACACCACTCTCGGAAAAATTTTAAATTGAAATCACGTGTTTTCTGATCAGAAATTTGTATATTGAGGTTTTCCAGCCTCCAAGGTTTCTATATCTGATCTTGATTTTCATCTATCTAACTTTGTTTTTGAGATAAACAAAGGACAGACAAACATCCAGATGGACAACAGTGAGAATATATATATCTGCAATTATAAGGCAATTATAATTAGTATAAATCTGCAGTTTGAAAATTACAGCCCAATTAAGTCAGATAATGAATTATAATTATATATATATATATATATATGTTACTGGCAAAGTTCGAAATCCGGCATTGTATATAATGCCTAAAACTAGCTGACAATCTATGAAACGATTCATATTTTACAAATTTCCTAGGCATTCTATAGAATGCCAAATGAGAAACCGGCAAAGTATGAAATACATCTCCAATTTGTTTCAAATATCACGTGGCAAGGCATGAACTTTTAATGCGTGCCACAGGCTTAGAATTTGTCAGTTGCACTTTTGTGATTTGTTCAGGAGTGTCAAAATATGCAATTTTACTTAAATTTGTTCAACAAAAAATTAGTTTTTTACTGTGCTCCATGAAAATGGAGGAGCAAGCTGTAGTGTTGGAGAAGGTGTCATGGTCCATAGACATGAAACAACGATTCGATGATGAACTGTCCAAAATTCGAGTTAATGATGCAAAAAACAGTACTTTCTTAACTGAAACTACTTACCAGAAGTTAATAAATGATGTACAAAAAGCCAAAATGACTACTAAGAAGGAACCCAGGGACTATTGGTTGCTGAATTGCTATGATGTGATGATTGTAGAAAACAAAAGTAAACTCATTTATCCTGTTAAAGAAGGCATCAGTATTATACAGTATTACGTCACGGACTCAGAGTTAATTCACGTACTTCATGAAGCTCATTTGGCTATTGGACATGGAGGACGTGATAGAATGTTGAAAGAACTTTCAACCAAATAC